CAGTAAGGTTAGGTTTTTAGTGAAATGCGTAACTAAGAATATACACTTAAAAACGTAAACTGTTGGTTAGAGAATCTTACCAAGACTATTTTGTTGCATTCTTTTTCGTTTCGAGCGGGACATATAGGAGACTTCAAACTATTTTTGAAATTAGAGTAACTTGGATGTTGTTGCTATTTTTACAGGTAAAGTTGCTAGCTTCACGCTCATCCATCACTTTTTTCTGGTCTTACTGATAGCTTATAAACTAGGTGAGGTATAGGAGTGCCTCAGTCAGGAGTCGAATCCACACCTTTTTCTTGACAGACAAGTAGTCTACTATTGAACAACTGACATACATAATCAAGACTGTATGAAATGTAGATGCAAGATCAAATGTATTTGTTGTAATCATACATCGATTATAGAAACTTGGTTGACTAAAATATTATTAGATATCAGTAAAAGAGTGTTACTCACCCATCCATAATCATAAGATAGGGATTAAACAAAGTGGTAATTCCTAAGAAATAAGTATATATTCAAGGGAAAGACTGATCATACAAGAAACTCAAAGCATTTGCATAACAGCTAGTTTATGTTTCTTATATGCATAGTGAGTTAGAATATGACTAAAACAAAAGAAAAAGGGTGAAGTTAAACTTAAGGCACCCAGCAGGCATGAACACACCAATTACCCCTCAGTGCTCAGTTAGAGCGGATCAGTTAAATCAAGTAAATAGCGTGATATTCATCTCGTCAGCAGTAGGTTGGGTTTGGGACAGGTTAGAGTCAGGTTAAAGTAAGATTAATTTTAGGGTTGGGTTATGAACACAAATTTGCTCATTTCAAGATCATCAATGCATGCACTTCTTGACTGTATAAAGGTGAACTGTGCCAGAAATGAAATAAAGCCTACGAAAACCAGGCTTGGAAGGTTTTAACTTATTACGCACAGCAAATAAAATTATGCTTGAAACAGTAACTAGTGGATAATGACATTATATCAGCCTCTCTTTTCTACGCCTTGATTAGTGTATTACTAAGTTTTTTTGTCATCGAAATGTGAAGAAACATGAGGCTGATCATTAGCAGTTTGCTTTCATTTTGGTTTAATGAGGGGGGGGGGTTAAGACTAAGGTACAGAAAAAACGATCCAAGCGAATGACTGACCAAATGATCTGGAATGGATTTACAAAGATATTCACAACATCGGAAATCATTCTTATGATTTTACTGACCTGTGGGATTGAATGCACACTAATTCCAGATTTCTTCTATTTCTTTACTTTCCTAGTGGAACATAGGGATTCAAGCTGTGAGCTTTGAAGTTTCGGTAGCAGTGATTCTCTTCTTTTCTACGGGGTGGGGTTATTAGTCCCAAGCCTAACCTATCCTCTTTACTTGGCTTGCTACTAGTTAGCTGAGGTTTAGAAGTGCGTCGACCAGGGATCAAGCTCTAAGCCAAGTGAGTGGTTGGAGAGTATTGATTCTGTGATCCACTGACGCACTTGAGAGTGGGTGGGGCACTTGAAAAACAGTATTCTAGCGTCAAATGAGTAAATAAATGACATGGCATCCATATATTTCCATGATTCCATGTACAAAAAGTGGTTTGGACTAAGTAATATTGAGAATCCCGATGACAAACCGGGAGACACTTCTGGTATATATAAGTGATTGCCATCTTGTATGATTATTTTCTCTTACGTAATTTGTTCTCTATAAATAGTTTTCTGTTTATATTCATTTGGTTGGTCCGATTGCTTGAGTCGACACAATTTACTGTAAGTAACATTCTTAGTAAATAACTTTAACTGTACATGTATGGTAATAAACGTCTTGATAATCCACCAAAAAGCACTCTTTGAATTCATACACGTATGATTTATCGATCAATCTTATGGTTTCTCTATTAGCGAAAATATTTTGTTCGTTTTCTTATTATTATATTATTCTTCATGATTACTGCCCATGTGTTTTTACAGCATGTACTACGGCATACCTTTGAACTGGAGAAACTGACTTAGTTATTCTTCCATATTTCCTGCATTTAGTTTCTGTTCTCATTTCTGCCATGAATCTTATTCTTTTTGCTGCTTAAATCGATGGTGTTCTGCAATAATTTTTAATTACAGAATGAAACATCTTGTAATTAGTAAATATATACATTGTTTGAAACTCCTCAGTGGTGGGCATCCATCACCTCAGTGCTGCGTCCAAGACCCTTAGGTTACAAGACGAGCTTGTAGACCGTTCAGCCACTCGAGCGAAATCCTGAAGGTCCTGCATTCAGTCTCTAGGAATAAGGAATAGATACGTACTGATGAAGAGTCCCCAACTAGGACGAAACAGCTTTCCAGTACTTCCTGATTTCTAGTGATTTTTCTAGAAAGTGTCGGTTTGTTATCAATCCAGAAATAAATCAAATCCCTGCAAACCAACACCTGAAAATAAACACATGTAGGATTTGTAGCAATTTCATTGATTCCAAGGTGTAATAGTTTATTTGACGAACTTAGTATGACATAGGCAATCACTGAAATAATAAAATATTAGTGGTAAGCACTTTATTCCAAACAATAATCTTTATACAAAGTGGAATTACTATTTATTTACAGGTTATAAAGTGGGCTTATAGGCTGTTTTCTGACATTTATCTCTTCACACAACAACCATGCTAAATATGGTATGATTGAAGTTTTAAATGTAGCCGTATGAGAATAAATTCTTATAAAATTTCTTTTGATTTTAAGGGAAGAGATAAGTGAAGAAGGTCGCGACTAAAGAGGATGTTAGAAATATCCGACAGAACAGGAGGATAATGCATCGTGACATCAGCTCGCTTAGCAAAGTCGTAAACCAGAATATGTAAAACTTCACACCATTGGACCAATATATGGAGGCGCTGATTTTTTCGCAACTGAATCTACTTATCACCTTTATTATTCTTACGACGGAAAACTCAACGATATCTGCGAAGTGAAAACAGCAGTAAGAAAAGACTATTACCGATGATATTCCTGATTGTGGTGGACGGAATCGTGCAACTCACCGTACTTCAGGAGCAAGAAGACAGAGACACGTGGACCAATCAAGAAAACTCTGGAAGACCTGGACTTCGCGGATGATTTATGTCCAGTGTCCCGTAATCTCAAAGATCTACAGGTGAAAATCAACCAGTTAGTAGAAGAGGCAGACAGTGACGATAAAACCTCTAGTGAACGTAAAGAAGACAGAGATGATAAAGGTACCAAACCAATAAGAACAATAGGTATCAGTCATTAATAACGGAAGAAATTTGAAGGAAGCCGCGTGTTTCACTTAACTAGATAGAACCGTTTAAATTACTGGCGGCACAGATGAAGATGTCAAAGCCCAATGATGACTGGACAGGTAGACCTTCCTTACTCAGAAATCAGTGTGGAAAGCTGCTGCCATGGGCATTTCGATTTCTAACATTATTATCATTTTAGTCAGTGCTCCTATATAGTTCAGAGACTTGGCACACGTGTTCCCAAAATGCACTTTGAACAGGTTTCTGGATTTTATCAACAGTTCTACACTAAAGATTAGATGACCAGCCATAAAGGATAAGCAACAATGCACTCTTAAGTCCAAAGAAATATCCATGAACCTGTTACCCAACGAAAAGGCCAAAGGAAATGGAGACGGATTGGACATTCGCTCTGCGGAGACCACAGAGTGATATCAGCCGTTAAGCAAGAAACCTCAAGTTGAGCCTTAATGTGAAACCCTGAATCAGATGACATTGGGGTAGATAAGAGCTTATGCACAATCGTGGAGTTAGCTAAAAGGGATTGTTCCACTCACAACCTAAGGGAATAATAGTAATTTCTATTAATAATAATTTTTAACTTTGATTTTTAACCTTGAATGATATGTTTTCTCACTAACTACATTAATAATATCAACTTAGGTTACATGGATGATAGATACTAAACTTAGAAGCACAAATATCACCATAAATCTATTTATTGGTGTTATTATTCACTTTGTATGTTGTTGTACTACACCCCTGTGTCTACAACAAAATGTTTATCCAATGTGTTAATATTATGCATGAGATAAAAATAAACCAATTATACTTCAAGGTTATTTGTATTTCATTAGTCTAATTTCTGGACAGTTTTGCATAATTTGGACTTTAGTAGTGTTGCATAGGTATACGTGTGTGTATGTGTTGTAGAATTGGTCTTCACGTGGAATATACATCATAAACTACACATACATGTGTATTAAAAATAATTGCATGTAATCTGTGCTTAACATCATCATCATCGTCAACATATTTATCAATAGAATAATAACACATCTGTCTCGACTTTATTTATCCACTTCATAAATGATTGTTGTTTTTCTGTGCAGACAATAAACGACAATAAATATTTATATTCTCATTCCCATAAGTTTACTACATATTACATGCATGCAGCTGTATACTACTGATTGACTGAAATGAGTATTTCCTTCCCCTTGTTACCTTAACAAGTAGAACTTGCTGCTGACTAGCTAGCCAGCCAACCAACCAGCGAGATCTAAGTGATCTGAACAACAGACAGCGGTGCGATTTCACTTGTTTTGTGTCGAGCTCATCAAAGTTGTATCAGGTTTAACTGATCTCAGAGGGCCAGATTAGTTCAAACCACTACTTGAATTATGGATAGGTACTTGGATGAAATGATAATCAGTTGGTTAATTTTAGATCACTTCGATCTGGCTAACAAACAAGCACTCCTGGTCAGTGATGTGAGTCGCATACAACTACAGGAGGTCAGTGGCGATTCTCAATATCTCAATGGTAACGTCTCTGACTGCAGCACTGGGTGATGCGGGTTCGAATCTCAGAAGGGACATGAGTTCCTTCAAGGTTGCTGATACGCCTTGCTCACGAGTGCCAACTAGCACGAAACCTAGGTTCATGGCTTCCTGCCGACTGCCTCCAACCATCTAATATCACCAAATCAATGTGCACCGTGATGGCGAGCTATCTAGAATGGTGGCCACACTACAACCTGACTGATAGAATTCAGTCTGCACCAAAGAAAGGACTAGACATGTCACACTAGTTACTAGCGTCTAATAAAATTATAGAGTTCTGTACAAATATGCCATAATTTTTGACTACAATTTATAAGTGAAGTTAAACTATAGATATCCATAGAATATGAATGCACGACTGCTCTTGGGGCGACACAATCATAACAGCCTGTTGTTATTTTTTTTACATCAAAATGATGTTTATTTACAAGAGAACTACAAAGATTAATGATAAAACACATTAGACACAGGATGTTTTCCCTGACGCGACTTAAAAATATCTTCCAATTATAATGATTAGTATTACTTTCTAGGTTAGACCATTTTCTAGTCATGTATTCATCGAAGTAACTGAAGACAACTTCATTTTGTGATTCCATTATGGATAAGATTTTATTTTGGTAAATCACACACAGTGTTGTACAGTAATATTAACTGATGACGTTTAGAGCACAAACTATTGCTCATGATCATATCAAGTAACTCACACAACTTTTTCTTTTCATTTATATACATGTGTTGAATGGATTAGATATTGGATTAAAAATCAATGTTACACACACGATTTACACACGTTAAGTCAGGCTTAGTTAAGTGTTTAACAAACCGAGCAGTAGCACTAAGTAGCACAAGAAAAGACCTAAATGATGAACTAAAACAGATAGAAGAGGCTTTGGTGTTAAATAACTATCCTTTTAAATTCATTAGGAAGATCAGAAAAGGGCAAGCGAAAAATAAAAATAATTGTGAAACTATTAATAATAACATAAATAAGGGAGAATATAAGTCATCCACTGTTATACCATATAAAGAGGGGACATCTGAGACCCTACGTAGGATTCTTAATAAAGCAGGAATTAGGGTGACATTCAAACCTACAAACTCACTCAGGTAGGACAAGCTCTGTAGGTTAAAGGACCCAGTGGACCTAATTAGATAAAATAATATAATTTACAGAATACCCTGCAATGACTATGAGTTATGTTAACTACATAGGTCAAACTAATAGATCGAGTGCACTGAAATTATCAGAACATAAGAATTTAGCTAAGGTAAAAATAGTTGACCCCGAGAAGATAAGTAATTTAGAAAAAAGCTCAGCTATTGCACTTGCACGCATTAACAAACAACCACACAATAGGGAGGGAGAGGGTTAAAATTCTAAAAAGTAATCTAGGTAGGTGAAGAGGAGGATTGATTAATGAATCCTGCCTGGTTCATCGAGTCTACACCCGACACATGCAACAGAAATGACTCAATGCAAATACCAGAAATATGGAAGATATTATTACCTCAAGTCAAATCAGAAGAGGATAATAAATAATCTTAAAACTCTATTTCAATTCAAACACATTACAACATTCTAACAAAAAACTTATTATGACTATAAAAAAACACTCGTATACAACATTCGTATTCCCATGTAATTGTAATGGGTCAATAACACTCGTACTATTATTTCTGAATGGACATTATCTTACATTGATTTTTAATCCAATATCTAATCGACTCCACATATATATATATATATATATAAATGAAAGGAAAAAGTTGTGTGAGTTACTTGATATGATTATGAGCAATAGTTTGTGCTCAGTTAATATTACTGGCAGTCACCTCTCTATCTCAACTTCATCGACTTTGAAAAGGCCTTCGACAGCGTCGATCGAGAGGTCATTTGGAAACTACTTCGCTACTACGGGGTCCCATCGACAATTATACACCTCATCCAACAGTTATACGACAATGCTGCATGCCAAGTAATCCACAACGGGAAACTTACGGAAGCCTTCGAAGTGAGGACGGGAGTGAGGCAAGGCTGTCTACTATCACCAATGATCTTCCTGATTGCAATTGATTGGATAATGCGACAGACAACGGCAACCAACGAGGGAACAGGCATAAAATGGACTGACACAAAAGACTTGGAGGATCTAGATTTCGCCGATGATATATGTCTGATTTCCCATAAACTGGAAGATATGCAAGTGAAAAGTAACAAGTTGGCAGAAGAAGCATCAAAGATAGGACTTCACGTGAACATAGATAAAACAGAGATAATGAAGATTCCTAGCCAACATCAACAGCAACAACAACAACAGACAACAATAAGCATAAATGGGAAGAACCTGAAAGAAACAACCTCCTTCACCTACCTGGGAAGCATCGTCTCAACTACAGGCGGAACTGACGAGGACATCAAAGTCAGAATCGGAAAAGCAAGACAAGCTTTCATTACTCTCAAATCTGTGTGGAGGTCAACAGCAATCACCATCAAAAATAAGATCCGGATTTTCAACTCCAATGTGAAGTCAGTGCTACTATACGGATCAGAGACTTGGCGGGTCATAAAGAGCATCTCAAACAAACTTCAAACCTTCATTAACAACTGTCTCCGCTCAATACTCAAGATCAGATGGCCAGAAAAGATCAGCAACAGGGATCTCTGGGAGCGAACCAATCAGGAACCGATTGTGAAACAAATAGGCAGAAAGAAATGGAGATGGATTGGCCATACGCTGAGGAAACCATCAAGTGACATCACTAGACAAGCCCTCGAGTGGAACCCGAAAGGGAGGCGGCGAGTTGGTCGTCCAAGGGTGACTTGGAGGAGGTCATGCGAGGAGGAGATGAAAGCATGTGGACAGACCTGGAGCAGGTTGAAAAAGTTGTCAGAAAACCGAAGTCAATGGAGGTGCGCAGCTGAAGCCCTATGTTCCTCTAGGAACTAAAGGATACAATAATAATAATAATAATAATATTACTGTACAACACTGTGTGTAATTTATCAAAATAAAATCTTATCCATGATGGAGTTATACTCTACCACAGTGCCCAAGTTTTATACTTATATCAATGATTCATTTTGTGACCCATTTATTTCTTTTTTTGTCCTGATTTTTAGTCTTCCCCGAAAGACCTCGATTGAATTATCATGAGTTCCAAAAAGGGGTTTGACAACTACTTTCTAGAAAAATGCAGATAAAAATTAAACACGTTAAAATTAATCCTAACCTAAAACATAACCCTGATGAGTTATCAACACATTATCCAAATAGTGCTTATAAACAAGTTCGGGATGAAAGTTATGCCTCATTTCATTAAAACAGCGTTCATAGTGTCGCTATAATAATAATAATTATAATTATAATGGTAGGTCCAGTTATCCAATGAGTGGTATGTACTCAAGGTCACTGGTATGTTCGCACTCCTGAATGGATATAATTTAACTTGGCCCATTTATGGTATCAAAGAGATCACGTGTTATAGAGATCTAAATAATTTCGCTTTTCAAAGAGAACTGGTGAAATCTGACGTCAAACTGTGTAAATTGAGAATTAACTTGATGTACAGAGAGAGGTATAACGCAAAATATATGGAAAAGAGTTAATCTGTGATCAAACCAAAACCTGGTATCAACTCATGAAGTCTTTGTTTATTGATTTGATCCTTGTAGGAAGTAGTGGTATGCCTGGTTGGGGTTCTTAAGACGCTAAGAATCAATTGCTGGAGACTTGGTGATATGGCTCAGATGTATTCTGTCTTTATGATCTCTTGTATTAAATAAAATCCTCATGTTTTTCCATGATGCTATTCTTTCTTCGTTTTTTTCTCTGTTTCATCTACTTTTGTGTGCTGTATAGGGTATGGCAAGTTGAACTGCTACTGTTTCGTGCAAAGTTCTATGTTGAAACTTAGTCAGTTAGTCTTGCTTTGATATTTTCTGGGTTGTTTCACACAAGGCTATTCCATTCCCTGATTTTGTCACTCTTAGTCCATTGCTTTGATATTCAATGTTTTTTTTGCAGAAAACACCATGCACACAATATACTACTTAAAAATATTGTCAATAGCACACGCTACGTATCTACAATGGTAAATGTAAAATGACGACTTGATTTGAATAGTCTGTTAGACTTCAACTTAAAAATGTTATGACTTTATCATTTTTACAGTTGGGAGAGTATTGTTGAAGAGCTCTGAAACCAGGAAACAATAAATAGCTGTACAGTGCTCCATTTGTTTCCAATAATTTTTCTGATTATGATGTTGGTTTTTTATAAAATCTGCATTGAAATTGCTCAGAAGTGAAACTCTGACATTCAGAATGTAAATATCCTGATCATTAGTGACTAGAGAATATATCTCATTGAGTTCTGAGGATTAATAATAGCTTGTGGAGTTAGGTGGGACGCGGATGCTCATCAATTTCAGTGATTAGTTGGCAAGCCAATATCATGAGTTGACAGAAGATGGCATTCATGAGTCATTGAATTCGAACCCAGTAACAGTGCAGTCAGAGAACCGGCCTCATAACCTGAAATTCTTAGGTGTGTACTACTGAAAAGTCCCTAAATGGGATGAAACAGCTGTCAAATACATCATAGTATTCACTAGTTCTCTAATTGGTGCTGGCTTGTGATGAAATCTACACGACAATTATCTAATAGTCATTGATTATGAATGTCAGCGTAAATGATACCCTCTGAGTAGTTGAACTACGTTTTAATTAAGTATTATATATACATATATTAAGTTGATGCGGTTCCTTTGTTTTTACTGTCAATCCCTCATTTTTGTGTTTCTCCATTTAACAGATTTATCGCGAAGAATAGGTGTGGAAATCACAAAGTATGATTATTTGTAAACTCTGATCAATATAAAGCATATCTGACAAGAGAAAGCAATAAAAACAGTTCAGCGTTCAATGTTGCGCACACACATACACACAACAGGTACATCCAGTTGAGGGAAGTTCCGAATGGGATGATATGGGCATCCTGAACGCTACGCTGCTAGTCATCATGAACCAAAATAACTTCACGTTAATCCTCAGACACCTTAAAAGCGTCTGTACTAGGAGGCGATGCATGCCAACAAAGACTAGGCAACAACATAATCAAAGGCAAAATTAACGCGAAAACGCACTTTGGGAATCCTACGCAATAAAACAAAATAGAGTGTACAAGATGAGTTACATACTATATTATTATTATTACTATTAATTTGAGCGGATGACGAGTAATCAGGTGAGAGGTTAGTCATTACTTTTTCTCTATTATTGTGATGAATTTTGATATCATTTCGTCAACATTTTCCGATTCATAATGCCTCAGATTATGTTTCAGTGATATATCAGGCCTTTATGTGATTGAAAACTTAGAATATCTTTTGTGTTCTCCACCATCCTCAGTCTTGTCTCACAGTTGTATTGTTATTAAAAGTCTGACTGTTAGGTTATTGTTTATTCAGGATATTTTCTGTAGTTTGTTGAGTCGGTGTCCCGAGTGGAACATAAGACTTCAAGCTTTAAGCTTTAGCGTTTCAGTAGCGCCAGTGTTATCTTTCTTACAGGATTTGCGCTTTCAGCCTCACGCCCCATACACCCTTGATTTCCAGGCCTCCTATCGGCTAGTAAACTAGGCTAGGTGTAAGTGAGTAAGTTCAGGATTTGGACCCAGACTACGTGTATTGTTGGCGAGCATCCTATCATTGTGCCAGTGATTTGTATCTTATTTCATTTGTTTGTATGGGATTTGCTAACTAACATCATTTC